AAGCTACACACAAGATATCAAAAGAGGGTAGAGCTTGAAACAGACTACACAAAAATATTTCTACAAAGTTTTCTAATAAAATATTAATCACACAATTTGTTCATCAATGACTAAGTACTGAAAGTTGTTTGAATCGGATAATTTATTGACTTCAGTGGTGTTTTGGTTTGGACCTTGGTCATACCTATAAGCACGTCTGTTCAAATAAACTTCCTGCCGGAATATTTTATAAAATGAATAATTGTAATATTTTGAGAAATAACAAGCGTACCATACCAAATAAGTTTCACAGTCCGTGGACTTAGTGATGGAAGGAAATGAATAATCGTATTGGCATTTATTTGGTACAAATTTGTCCCGGCTTTCTCACATGAAATGGTTAAGGTTAAAAATGTGACAGAATTGATAAAAGGAACAACGGCTTGAAAATTTAGAGTGGACAATTCTTTCTTTTAGGCAGAAGAATAAAAACTCAAACTCCTGCTCGAGGTTTAACAATAAAAGAAGAAAATGTTTATTTACATACACGAGGGGAAAAAAGGTAAAGGTATGTAGGCAAGATAGGAAAGAAGGAAAGGGAGATGAAAATTCCTTTAACTTAAAGGAAGAAAAAGTGTTCCTATAAAGATTTGGTTAAAATATTTCTCTTGGCGCCTAAAAGTTCTTTAAGCAAGTAAATTGTTCTTAAGGGGTAAACGCTCACATAAGATTTCTCCAGGGATCTTGTTGAGTGGGGAAACAATAGGAAGATCTGTAGTTTGTAGTTGAGTTCGTAGCAGTGGCTGACGACAGGAATTTCAAAGTCCTAGGAAGCAAATCTTAAGTAGTTTTAGGAGAGGGCCGACGTTCTATCGTTAGAGCCCAGCATGTAGATTTCTCGCTTGAAACAGGTTCTGAAGATGACTGGTGTTACTGTCGCCGACCTGATGTTCTCACAAACGATATCAAGTACTGACAATATTTATTGCTGTAAATACAACAAATGTGGCACAAGGCCAAAAAGGGGGTTGGGGGAAAAGGACGGTCATCACTTGTCTTAATATAAAACTTAGCTAGCCACAACCACTGAACCTCTCATACAAAACAATATTCCTATCACCAAAGAGACGCATATTCTCCGTATTTATTGAGATTAGAAGGCTCAGAAATATCGAGAACTTTTTCCCTCCAAAATTGCAAGGGTGAAAGTCGTAGCAAAGATCTAAAAAGAGGCTAGAACGTGAACTTGTAAAACATTGTAGTAGGAGTTCTCAAATAAAATTCTAATAGACGGTATGACACAAGGGCGTTAAGAATTCGTGAAAACCCAACCAAAAGGAACCGCGGCAGGAGTTTGTCTGAAACATTCCTGTCTGAGACCGACAAGCCACGAATTAAAATTTTTCATGAAGTTTTTGTTTTGGCAGTTTATTCGTTAAGGTAAAAATGGATTCAAAAGAATTATAGGGGAAACGGAAACTAATTGGCTGTGGCTGTATTACTCGTTAAGCAAAGTAAGCAGTGGCGTAGCCAAGGGCGGGGGGACGGACCGCCCCGGGTGCCAGCACAGGAGGAGTGACACAATGTTCTGAAAGTGAACAGTTGCATTTTAAAAATCTTTTGATTTGAACTGATTATTTTGTGGTATTTTGTCTTGGATCATACATGTAAACAGTAACATACCGGTCAGTAGAGTAAAGTAGAGGTAGAGCATGTATGAAAATTTAGTTACAGCTAACCATTCAGCATAGGGTGAATTGGGGTCATTGGGGTGACATTTGAGCGGACCGCCCCGGGTGACGTTTACTCTAGCTACGCCACTGAAAGTAAGCATGTGCTTTGGGACAGGGTCATGATTTCTAAGTGATGTAATAGAGAAACACAAGAGTACAGATGGAAATTTACTAAACTTAGTTTTGACACAAGGCTACAAGTATGGAGCGCCCTATAATGATTGAACGCATTATTCCTTAGCAAGCGGGAAGAAAAAACTCTCTCTAATCACTTTTCCATTCAAACACAACACTCACAAACATATTGAAAAGGGACTAATATTTTTAAACAGTTCCGGATTATTACACACACACACACACACACACACACACACACACACACACACACACACACACGTACGTGTGTGTGAAATTTCAGGTAGAGTATATCTGTAAAAGGACAAGATGAATAAAGGCAAAAGGGAAAGTTATCTTAGCCGATATGTTTCGTCCTCCGAGGGACTTTATCAAAGTAAATTTGCCTTGGTAAATTCCTCAGATAAGTTATCCTTTTATTTTGTGTGTGTGTGTGTGTGTGTGTGTGTATCATTTCACCCCAAGCAAGACAACAATGCCACTAGAATGCAGGGGGTTAGAGGAAGGGAAAAAAAGGAACAGGCTCCAAGCAGACAGAAGATGGCGATTGACATTGCATTTAAATTTTTATTGGGAGAGCAAGAAATTGGAAGTGAGTTCCATGGGTGGGAAGTGTAAGAAAAAAAAACAAACTGTTTGAGCAGAAATGACAGTTGCATCTGGTTGGTTCAAAGGTCAGACATAGTTGCCAATTTAGTAGCACGTTTAAATTCATGTAGTGGGGGTACCAGGGTGGAGTAGGGAAGCTCATCTGAGCAGTTACTATAAAAATATTTGTAGAATAAAGAGAAGGAAGCCACATCATGTCGGTGAGAAAGTGACTGAATGCCTGGTCAGGATCAATTGTATTGCAAACCCTTCTTTGAATTTTGTCAAGTATATTGGGGTACACCAGAGAAGACTAAAATATTTTACATTGCTACACAAAAATTTGTGTTTCAAAACTTAAAAATTGTTCCAGCATCAGGTGATGTTGCGCAGCATCATCTGATGATGGAACAATTTTTAAGTTCTGGAACATTGAAATTTTTGTGTAGCAATGTAAAGATATTTTATAACAAAAAATATTATTATAATATTTTGCTTTAGGTTGTATCAAGCACTCTTTTAAAAAAAAAGTAAATGCTAAGAATGGTGGATTCTTAATCTGTCTGTTCTTTCTCATATATATATATATATATATATATATATATATAAAAAAGTGTATATATATATATATATATATATATATATATATATATATATATATATAATGTATAATTATTTATATATTATATGCTCAGTACTTATTAGAAAGCGCTCAATATCAGAGATAGAGCTAACATATTTGGTTGGATAGATATACACACATGCAAATACCCTTGGGAAAAGTATGAATCCATCTCTTCTCTTTGTCTCCTTCCAGCTATAGGTTAAATAGATCAAATTGTGCTTTTTAGCCTTGGTTGGTAACCAGTATAGGAGAAGGACAACTATTTATGAAAGCTGAAAAAAGACTTTCTCTTTAGTTCTGAGTTAATCTTTCAATCTTTTCTTTAACGGTCACAAAAATGACTAGCATTTTGTATTTTACTATTGTTCCCACAATACAAGGCCTAAGAGCCATTCATTGTAGAGGGTTGCCAAATGGGGATGTTGTAAGGTATATAGGGAGGGAGCAAGATTTGCATATTATAAGGATGGTTATTTGAGACATACCCACACATATATTTTAATTCAGACCTTATGCCCTCTACTTTACTTTTGGAAAAGAGGTAACGATTTGTTTTTAAATTTCCCTAAAAACTCCTTTTTATCACCAGTTACCAACCATTGCCTGAGGAAGTACAATCATAGTACTGAAATGTGAAAGCTTTTGTGTAGCGATTTAAAATGTTTTTATTATAATCTCTTATAATAATAATATATATATATATATATATACATACATACATACATACATACATACATATATATATATATATATATATATATATTTCTTGGGTTTTTTTCTTTTGCCACTTATCAACCACCCTGTGGGTTATTTAAAGTTGAAACATATTTGGATTGTAAGAATAATTCTTTTTTATGAAGGAATATTGCATTAACAATTTTTGAGAATAACAATGATTTTTACAGATACTAATTTTACTATTTAACCCATGTATGTGGAGAGGAGATAAATTCATATCTTTTCCAAGGGCACTGGCATATAAGTGCATGCAATGACCCTGACTGCAATTTGAACTCAACTCTCCGATTTCTCTTTCCGAGCAACTATCCATTAAAACACTTGTCATATATATGAGTTCCACTTGAGGTTTGGTGTGAACTTGATTTCAAATAGAAGTTCCAGGCAAGGAGCCTCATTATGAGTACAAGCATTCTACATGAAAACTTGGGGTCTACTTTGTAATGATGAAATGTTTCCAGCTTAGTTTTGGATGCATTGAATGTTACAAGCCAGTTCCTTCCTCATTGAGCCCTGGTATAATTTAGAAAGGGTAAAAATGTTTTGCAATGTTGTTGCTATTACAAGTTTGATCCTCATTGGGAACTCTACACTTATGGCCTTGAGCTTAGCTTTATATAATAAGTTATTCTTTTTATTGATCTAACAGAATTATTTGTACATTTATTTCATTGAAGTCTTATTGAAATTCAAAATCAAATCAAATGGACTTGGAAAAAACATAAGTTTTTAAAACAAAAGTATGAACAAAGAAAAAATTAATGCAAGATTCACAAAATTGAAGCGTTTTGCATATGGGGATATTTTATTTTTATTTTGCAGCAATATCTGTTCAATAATGGAAGAGCAATCAATATAATTTCTCATTCAGCATATTATATTACTGTCTGATTTATATCGGTTGAGATTCTATATTGTCTTTCTTTGAAACAAATGGCTAAATTGCTTGCAAGAGGCCTGTGAGAAAACAGGTTTTGATTAGAGAAACTGAAGTTTGAAGACTATAGAGAAAAATCAGTCACCTGCAAATTCTTTTTTACTTTTTAAGTAAGCCTCTTTTGTGAAGATTAGGAAAACTTTTGAAGGCAAATAAGTAAAAACACAAAATGCAGAAAAATGAATTCAATATGCAGAAATGTAAAGATTTGTGTAAATCCACACTTAAATAAGAGGGTAAGTGGAAACAGCAGGAGTAAAAATAGTTAAAAGAATAGAGAGGGGAATAGGAGGAGAGAAATGATTGATTGGTGAAACAGAGAGGAGGAAGTGACAAATGACTAGAGGAACAGAGAAGAGGAGGAAGAGGCAGACAGTAGCAAACATTTAGAAGAGGTGGAGAATGGTAAACAGTTGGAGGAAGAGAGAGGAGTAGGGAGAGGCAGAGAGTGGAAAACAGTTGGAAGAACAGAAGAGGTGGAGAGAGGTAAACAGTTGGAGGAGGAGAGGAGGAGTAGGGAGAGACAGAGAGTGGAAAACAGTTGGAAGAACAGAAGAGGTGAAGAGTGGTAAACAGTTGGAGGAAGAGAGGAGGAGTAGGGAGAGACAGAGAGTGGAAAACATTTGGATAAACAGAAGAGGTGGAGAGAGGTAAACAGTTGGAGGAACAGAGAGGAGGAGGCAAAGAGCAGTAAACAGTTTGGAAGAACAGGCAGAGAGTGGTAAATGGTTGGATCAAAGAAAGGAGAAGGAAGAGGTGGTTAAAGGAATAGAGTGGGGCAAGAGTAGAACAACAGATGGCTGAATGAAGAGGTGAAAAGTATGATTGATCTCAAAGGTGAATTTAGGTTTAATGTTTAACTCTAGAACACTAACCATGGGTATATAGTACCCAGCGCAAATTTTCCTATTTTTAATTACAATTTTCAGTACCTGGTTTTCTTACCTAAATAATGTTTTTCAGTTCTGATTAATGTTAACTCAAAGTACAAAGTTTGAAGTACCTGCATGTAAAATATTTCAAATAAAGATTTATATTTAATATTTTTCTTGATATTTTCAAAATCGGGTATGATATACCCATGGTTAGTAGTGGTGTAACTTTAATTGATGGTTAGTGTTCTAGGGTTAACCATCTTATATACTAGAAATGATGACTATCATCTTTAGTTTTATAGATATTTCTTGTTAAAGAGTGAGTAATGATGTCTGAGAAGTTTGTAAATATGCATATTTATTTCAACTGTAACAGATCTGACAATATACAATGTTCCATGTAAAAGTGGAGTGGTCATAAGCATTTAATTTTTTTTCCACTCCTGAAATGAGTCAGTAGAGAATAAGAACAGAACCAAATATGACCCATGATGGCTTTATACATGAGAACTTTTAAAATGAAAAGATAAAAGAAATAAGGTTGATGCTATGAATGTGGTCAGATGCTAATATTTCCAGTAAATTCTATTTTTGCTAACAGATAAATGAACTGGACAGATAAAATGAATGCTGATTTGTTTTTTATTTCAACAAAAGCCTTAGTAATCAGAAATGCGGTTCTATATAAGGATGCTGAGATCTTCAAAGATTTGAACCTGTGAGTAAAGAAAATGTTTTAGGGAAAATGGAAACAAAAAGAACACCTATATTTAGAATCAGAAAAACGTAATCGAAATTTCTAAGGCAAATAATGAAAAAAGAAGACTTGGAGAATTTGACACTTACAGGAAATATTGAAGACAAGGGAAACACATGAAAACAGTGAATAACAAACATATCAATCTTGTGTAAATTGTTGGTAGAAAAAAGATTAGGAGAAATAGTAAAAGGAAAAATACCTCACTAAGAGCTAAAACTGGCAGGATGTTGTGGGGAATGATGATCGCCTTTAAATAGAATTGGGATGACCCTTTAAATGATTATTTGATCAGAATAACAAAATTACTACTTATTATTCTTCGTTTCTCTATCTCCTAAGTGATATTCACTCAAATCAGGGATTTGACTGATTGTCAATCACTTGGGCTATTGTACTTGAAAAGGGTTTCCAATTATTTCTCCTAGTCATTTATTTTTGTATCAACTAATTATAATGATAATTAGATATGTGTATCAAACACACCCAAGTACACCGATAAGTCCATAGTCTTATCATGAAAAAGGCATTTATTTTATGCAACAAATATTTTTTCAGCATAATGTCCTTCTTAGTTAAGGACCTGATGGACTAAATCCGTCAGAGTATGAAACATGTGGATAAAGAAAAATTTCCCTTTTGTCTTTATTCATATATATATTCATATATATATATATATATATATATATTATGAATGTATGTATATATGCAAAACAGATTATAGCATAGCTGTATCTTTCTCCATCTCAATGTAAATTTTGAGAATAATAAAACTGTGAAACTGATAAAGTTACTCTAAATAAATATTCTTAAAGACTCTTGTTTCATTTTCAATGTATTTTTCCTATATATATATATATATATATTGTGTGTGTGTGGGTTTATATATATAGTGTGTATATATGTGTGTTTATGTGTGGGTGGGCTTATATATGTATGTGTTTGTGTGTGTGTATATACACATACACACACACACTTTCCCCTGGAGGTTACCTCCACTCACCAATGGACTTGATTGTAAAATGTGTAATTTTACATTCAAATTTCTTGATGAATAGATTTAATCCCCATGAAACTGAGTAGAGACAAGCTAAATGAACATTTGATTTTATGTATTGCTCTTGATATCGACCTTTGTAATTACAAATATGGCATGCCTTAAAAATCTTCTAGAAATACCCTGGTTAACTGTTTTTTTTTTGTTTTTTGACAAAAACTATCTCTCACTTTCTCTTTATCTATCTATCTATCTCTATATATATATATTTGGATGGAATACAGCTGTGACCTGAATGCTAAAGTGTATGTGTTTCTTGTGACAGTCAGAAATTGATTTTTCATTTATTTTCACCATAGGGAGGAAAATAAACAAAACATAAAAATATTTTAAAGGACATAAATTTATATGAAAATTGTTAAAAATATAATCTACTATTTAATTTTTTTTTTTTATAAAATTTTTTCTCTATTTTAGATCTGCTGATATTAATGCCTGGTTGTCAGCAAAAGAGGCAGGTCAAGTTGTAATCTACATATTGGGGACATTAATATTAAGTAAGTACAAAAGTTTAATTATGTTGGTAAGTTAGTATCAGACAATGGAAAGTGTGCAGAAATATGGAGTTGCCCAGGAATAGAGGAAGAGGTCTTTCAGAAACAAAGTGAAAGATTAAAAGATAGAAAAATATCTCTTGAAGCATCAGTGATGTGATTTTACCAAGGAATACTGAGAATACAACAAACAAAAATTTGAGCAACAAGGTCACATGGCCCAGTGGATAAAGATGTTGGTTAGATCCAGTGACCAGACCGAAAAAGTTGTGAGTTCAATACCGGGCCACAGCAGTGCTGAACCAAAACTTGGAGAGTTGAATTAAAGGGAAATAACTGAGACATCCGGAAGAGGCATGACACATGGAACTAGAACAATCTATCCCAGTGGATGAAAAAGTGTTCGGTTTGAAATTCCAATCACCTGAAGAAGGCCAGAGCATACAACAGCCAAAACGTTGTGAATATGGCAATGAAGATGGGGATAAGAGTCTGAATAACAAATAATGCGAGGAAATTTTTAGTTAAGTAGGAACCATAAGGAATCTGATATTTACAATCTGAAAAAGACAGCTGAATTTTCTGGGTAGCATAATGAGGAAAGAAGGCCTGGAGAATTTAACACTCACAGGATATAGTGAATGCAGCAGAAGCAGTGAGTAATTAATGCGTTTGTGTGAATAAATTGTGGAACAGGTTACTTAGAGAAATAAAGTTGTGGAGAGTTAAGATCGTCCATGTACAGAAAGGACATGTTATGCAGAAAATAGGTTAGTATGTAATAGAGATATTTTTGTTAGGATATCTTAAATTGAAGTTCTTAAATTTCTTAAAGGTTTAACATGGTTGGCAGGTTTGGTGATGAATGGGATTAAATGTCGGTCACCTTGAGAATTTATTAGGTTGAGTCAATTTTATTTTGTTTATCAACTACATTCTTAAAAAAAAATATTCACCATTATTTGCAAGGACTCTACTGCCATTTTATGGGCTTTCAAGAGGTGGCTCTCCAATACCTTTTTATGGGGCTTTGAAGAGGTACTTCTCTCATACCTTTCAAATAAGATTCTGCAGGTTTTGATGTGAAAAAGTTTTCAATGAAATTTCTTGAATCTGGATTTCATTAGGGAAAGTTTTCTCCATCAAATCATTTTGCAGAAATCAAAAAAGCTGATAATTATTCGGGGTAAAACTAGATGAATATGGCGGATTGGGTTGGACAGACCGACTGAGTTCTAAAATATTTTATTGTTTTATTTTTATTTAATTTTTAATCATTTTACTACATGCAAGGTTATAATGTTACTAAGACGCTAGGGGTTACCAAGAGCGAAAGAAAATGAGAAAAGATTAGTGAGGAGAAAGGAAAATGAAAAAATAACAGAATTCAGGAAAACTGAAGAAGGCAATTAATATTGCATTTATGATTTTGAAGATTGTAGTTGACACAGAAGTAAGAATTTGAAAGAAACTTCCAGAATGCAAGAAAAGAAACTATTAGAATAGAACTTATGGTTGCATTTTTATTTCAACAAGAATATAATGAGAACTAATTTCAAATCTGGAAGTATGCTTAAATTCATGTCGCCAAGGTACCAAGGAAGAAAGCTCATTAGAACAATTGCTATGAAAATATTTACAGAATAGACACAATGTTGTTGTTATTATTATTATGATATAGTCTGTTGCATTCACTTTCACACTAATGCTCCTGGAAAAGTCATAAATTAGTCTCTTTGTTTCTTAGCTATGGGCATAGAAGACTAGGCTCTCTAGCCTTGCATAGCAACCAGTCTAAGAGAAGGAAAACTTAATTCAAACTTTGTAGAATGCAAAAAGAAACCATTCCACTATTTTCCTGAAGAATGCATGGTAATTCACAGATAAATGAAATGAGTCTTGGGAGATACATGGGCATGGTATTTAATATATATATATATATATATATATATATATGTGTGTGTGTGTGTGTGTGTGTGTGTAATGCCCAGTACTTATTAGAAAGTGCTCATTATCAGACATAGAGTTAACATATTTGGTTAGTTGGGTTGATGTGAGTTTGTAACTCTGGGTCACAAACTCACATCAACTCAACAAATATATATATATATATATATATATATATATATATATATATATATATATATACACACACACACACACACACACACACGTATAATCTCCTACATACAAAAAACACATACATATATAGGCACAGAAAACACACACACATACAACATAATAACCTTGCTAACCAGATACTTCCTCTGTAGCTAAATAGTATAGCATATCAAGCTATAATGGCAGTTACGTGTAGGATACATATTCGATTCCTGTCAGAGGACACATATTTTCTTTGAGTTTTTTCAGACAATCAGGCCGGTAAATGTTGTTAATAATGTTTATTATAAACAGTGCATTTACTTAAATATTTGCTCATTTTATGAGCACTATCAGCAGCTAGCCAGTCCCTATTGCAGATGCCCATTCAGGTATATTCCTATTTTTTTGACATGCATGGGATAGACCTTATACTGCAACTATGCTGAGCAGACCTTAGTTACAGTGTTTTGGAGAGAGCTCAGAATCCAGCATGAACAGTGTCAGTATGCTCAAAACCTCAGCCACAATGACAAAACTTTGTGCTAGTACATCCATTAACATCTTCTGAACTGTTTCATCTACCCAATTTTACTCACACGTCTTGGATCTTCAGGCACTTTCTAAAGATGCTGCACATGAGGATCACCACCCAAGTCTGATAACATTAGGATTTCACACCATAAATTGACATATATACATATGTAAAATTTCAGATATAAATAAAATATGTTAAAGACAATACAAATAAAGAGAAAGGGAAGATTAATCTTAGGCGACACATTTTGTCATCTGATGGGCATTATCAAGATAAATGATAAGTTTGCCATTTGTCTTAATTGGTCCATTAGAGGAAGAAATATGTCATGTAAGATAAGTT